CTTTCATAATATGCATAGTTTCATAATACTCAATAACCAATCACAAGCTTCTCAAAAGTTGCATAGAAACAGCCCTACATATGCTAAACTATCTACAAATATATCCAAAATCCAATACAGCTCAACAAACAAAATCTACTTTTTTCCTCAAAAAAAAAAAAAAGAAAAAAAAAAAGAAAAAAAGAAAAGAAAAAGGTGGCACTAGAGAGATCAAAACTCCAGCAGCCGAGCATCGATACGCAGGCCCTATCAATTATCCACTCGTAGAGCACTTGAGCTTTCTCCGTGTAGCAAATACCACGCACGTGTAAGTTACACTCAAAGCCACAATCGATACACCAATGTAGACGCAAACCGTTGTAGCACAAACATACATATACCTTCACCAAAAGTATAGAAAAAAGAAATCAGTTTTGCTAGTGAGGAAAGTTCATAATCATTGCGAAAAACGAACAGTCAAAAGGGTTCATCAAATCTTGAATTAGCGGCGAACAAAAAAAAAATTACTTTGGGGAAAAGACGCTCCAAACGAATAAATGGTTCCTCATCAGTAGCAAAACGATTGTATACGCAACGAGAAGAATGGAGTTCAACACAAGTGGAACAAGACAAGGATAGCCGAGTGTCATCTTAAGAATATGTCCTAAATCAACATTTTCGTCGGAATTCGCAAATGCTCTAACATCAAAATCCATCAGCATGCTAAGAAGAGCTAACATAGGGGACGCATATGTGATGATGAACATCAATATACCGGAGATAATAGTCGAGTGGCTGGAAATTCCCTGATTGAATCATATTAATGTGTAGATTAGTTTTAAATGAAAATAAATAAATAAAAAAGAAACAATTATCATAAAAGTTAAAAAGAAAAGAACATACAATGAAAGCGCCGGCAACATCAATTGTAGCAAGAGTGTTGGTATTACCAAGACCAAAGTGGCCCGCCATTCCCACATAATATAGTGAAGCAACCTTAAAAAAAAAAACTCGTGACTTTTTTTGCCATAGAAGTAGTCGAACTATCACTATTGATTTTTAGCAACTTATATCTATCTATTAACACATACACAAAATAGAAGATCAACCAATAGCGGAATTTTATTTTCACGGAGGACAGTACTATACTACTCGGAAAATAACAATTTTTTTATATAAAATACTATTTTTTTTTATAAACGGAGGGGGTCATGGCCCCCCATGGCCCTATGCTGACAGAGGCTCTGTCACTGTGATCAAAACCCACCTAAAGGCCCTTTTTTACTTTTAGGAGAACAAAGTAATGTGATTTTGAACTTCCCCAATTTTTACATTTCACAAGTTAATCTCTCGGAATAATTCATCTATTTAAAAAAAAAAAAAAAAAAAAGGGATACTAATTACTAGAATATCTTGAGATTTATCTAACCTTAACCCATTGCTTGATGTGTACACCTCCCTGAGAGAAATAGCGTATGGTAGCCAATACTTGCACGAGGAGCAAAGCTGTGGGCATTGAATTTACGGGCTGTTGTAGCAGCATCTGTAGTAGACTCCAAGAAGACACGTAACACCACCCAATCACATATACAGCATCTCCAAAGGAATATTCTTTCGAAACGGGATCCAAGAGAGGCATCAACCATGGCAGAGCAACAAGAATCCCCACAGTAGATATCCCAATAAGTGCGTATATCATTTGTATCAATCTAGTATCATCTTGATTTGTCGAAATTTGCGTCAAAATCATCAACACGGGAAATAAATAAACCAGTAATAATAATAACACGACTGAAAAACGTCTTTTCGGCAGCTTTGCTAACAAAATAAAAGCTAAACATACGATAATAAAGATCACTGATAGCAGATGAAGGGAGTTTATATATACAGTCCCTTTTTTCTCGAGTAGTTTCGAAATGTCGGTAAGATAAGTCCAGTTTACACCACCTTGATGCCAGCCTCTGAGAATTCTTCCACAAATTAGAACTGCAATTATAGAATATATTCTATCGGAGCTTCCTCTACTCTGTTTGCCATTTGTGATTATTGACTGTATTGTTCTTCTGAGTAGAAGAAAATACAACGAAGATGTCATAAAATGCCATATGTATTGTTCTTCCTCGATCATAGAACTCGAACCCATACTTAAAACGAGGATAAATATTACGGCCACAATAAAACTCTCGTCCAAATGCCACTTGGAGTTGACTTTTTGGTCAAGGAGGAAAAGGAGACTCGTCAGTACCAAACAAGATAGTGCCATTGCAAATATTCCCAATGCGAGTAGACGAATAGGTTTCTGTAATACCATAAATAGTAAGGTGTTAGTTTTTCGATTTTCTTGGGGGAAAAAAAAAAAAAGAACTTTCGGATGTTGAATAATGTTCTACGTACATCTGTTGATCTGCTAGATAACCACTCGCTTGCAGTTCCAAGAAAATCACGGTATGCCAAAACTACGCTCATGTAGCCATCTTCATCAACAGATCTATTGAAAAAGACCAAAGAATGCACTAACTAAGGCTTCGCATTTTTAACTAGAGTTGTATTAAAATAAAATAAAATTTAAAACCTTGAGGAATTTTTGGATGCCCATGATCGATGAAGTGAAGCAGCAGCTAAATATGAGCAACAAAAACTTTCTGCACCGTCAGTTTTATCATTTGAAGAGTCACATGAGAATCTTGCACATCGAAACTCAGAGAAGTGGGTCTGAATTAGCCTTAGCAATTGCCATGAGTTTAACTCAAGTAACCTCAGCTGTTGTTCATCTGCTTTGATGAGGAAAATAATAAAGTTATGCACTTGATATTATTGCAAGCAACAACCAAAAATGGAAACGAAAAAAATAAAACCGAATAAAAAAGGACAAAACTCAACTAATATGAGATACTTTGTTTAGTATCGTTGATCCATAATGTATTATGACATGCAGATTTTGTCTTTTAGTTGGTAAAAGCAGGTTTTTCTGTAGGTCGTATTTTCGCAAGCATATTATTTGTTAAAGGAAGTAAATAGAACAAGTACTCTAATCATAAAGCAAATCATCAAAGGAGAAATATTTTAGGACTCCCCATTTCTTAAATAGATACACACATCAAGCATTTAAAATTAAGAGGCTTGAGGAGATGCAATATAATCAATGAAAACATGTTTTACGAAGAAAAGAAAAACAGATTGTAAAATAAAACCTTCGAGAAACGTGAAAACTTGTGACATCACAGTGCCAACATTGTTTACTGGGATTGGCACACCAAAGAGAAGCGCCACTGTTGAAGCAATGTCGACCTAAAAACCAATAATAAGACGAAAGATGCCAAAAGTATTATTAGCACATGGCTAAGCTATTTAAATTGTCGACCAAATTATTTTTTGATGCAATACTATCCCAGCTAAGACCTATATATATAATGAAGTCAAATATTTACCTGGTAAGCTTCTTTTCTGTTTTCGACATCACGGAATTTCTGTGCGCTTGCAAAAAGAGCCAAAGAATCTGTTTCTTCAAACGAAGAACCCCCATGATTGCCACTCTCAGTCATGCCATGATCGCTCACTATCATCTGAAATTCAAATCACAACAAGATATATTAGCACATATTTATATATTAGCATTGTCAACTGCATTTTACATCTGTGTCTCAAACATGTATACAGCATTTATATTTCCTTCATGTAGGTGTTTGACATTGTTAGAATAATATTTAGATCATTTCATATGTGTCGGTATAATATGTTTCTAACACGAAAAACGTTGCCTAGATAGCCCTGCTCTATGGATGCCACGATATCATAATGTAACATTCGAAGAAATGGCATGAAACTTTCAATCATACTCACTGCTATACTGAACTAGATCCTAGTTCAAACTCAAAAAATGTGACATATATTCTTCACTAGAGTAATTTTAAAAAATTAAATTAGTAATAATTTTTAGCCCTAGAAAATCGTGTAAGTTAAGTCTATTAGCGAGCATTAAGGCACAATTTGACTAAATAAACCATATTGGCTCATGCAACCCTAGAAATAGCTAACTATAAATACAGAATGATGCTAGTTGCGCACCAGAAATTCCAGATGATGAGAATAAAGCAGCACGAACCAAAAGTGTCCCTCCTTCGTCAACTTTGTGAGTTTGTATAATACTTGAGTGAATTTTTTTAATCACTTCGTCCATCTCCTCGAGTTTGGGTGCCATCAGAATACTGTCGAGAATTGAAAAAGAAAATGATTAGTATACATGATTTTACGTATATTAGAATATATATAGCAAAGCTGAAAGCTTTACCTATTACGCCCGCCAATATGCCCAACATGATCCAATCCAAGATAATGAAGAATCTGAAATGGTCAGATCCAGTCAATTTTAATGCGATAGCGATACTGAACGCTGAAATGATTTTTACACACCATAACTCTATTCATAAGACTCATTCGTCAATTCATATTCAAATGAAATACAAATAGAAAAGAACTTTCTAAGCTTAAATCTGACGAGACTCTCTGATATATATACCATTAAAAAATGTTGAAGAGAAGCACAACTCTTCATTCTGAGTTAAATCACTCACACTTTTTCTCTTCTAGACATCGGCCATCTCATTTTACTTTTCTTCTAAGATTGTATTCGTGGTATATTTTTTCATTTAACACATTTCTATCCTAGTCAATTAAATTTTCACAACTTTTCTTACCGAAACTTACGTGACATTCTTCACATAATTTCATCCTCACACTTAGCAGCAAAATATTCATATGAAAGTAAGTTATCAGTTGAGCTTTCAAAGGATGGGATTTACCAGAAGATCCCAGTCAGTACTGCCAAGCTCCTTATCCAAATGTCGAGAAACATTGTAATCTACTTGAATGGTGTCTTTAACCTGTAGTAAGATCCAACCCATATTACAGTCAAATTTCAACATCAATTTCCTTTCGCCTACCACACTTCAAGAAATTGAAATTACTAATGATGAATCTCGACTCGACAAATGTTTCTAAATTCTCCGTACAAGTACTTACGAAAAAACTGCTAACTCCATCGTGCCTGTCAAACATGTTCGGGAAAAGCTTAAGCCACGTTTCATCACCAAGCATCACCATTTTCCAGCCTATTCTGCGGAGCTGAGCTGTAAAACACCACAGTGTAGAGAGAGAGCCAAAAGTGTGAGTCCCGACTACATATTCATATAAAACGACAAACGAACACATCTAAAAACTAGAAACTAACCAATAATGTTATCATCCAAAAATGCTTGTGTGTTGAAATTAGAAGCAACATCCAAGAACCCTCCTATAGCACCCGAAACCATAGCCTGCTCGAATTCATCAACACTATTACATGGTTAGATCACAACATGCAAAGAGGATTAAATAAAATATCAATTTAGTACCTTCAAGCGAGGCATTGTAACGGTTGGCGGTGCAGCCTTAGCATGATAACCAATTGCTATTCCACTACCCAATAATGACTGTGTATAAGGCATAGCTTCCATAAAAACCTTCGGTGGAGGCTTCTCATTTCTTCCGAGCACAAATTCAGCCGGCAAACCATCAATAACCTAACCACAGCAGATTTCAACATAGCTAAGGTTAATTAACACTCGATTCTCGAATAGTTACACTTTTCGAGAAAATCATTTTTTTTCCAATGATAAGTTGGAAATTCACATACCATTAATATCAATCTATCGAATAACGGAGGAACGCCAGATAGTTCCTGCATTCACCGTGATTAAGCAACATAAGATTGTGATCCGAACTCGACAAAATTAACTGCGTATTTGCATTAGTTCAACCAGTATAACATACTTAAGGAAAACAAAATGTATAAACCCTAATTAGGATTCAACCAACAAATATCCCAATTTAACCCTAATCATAAATACTATAAACTAATTGAAATAATAAAAAGAATAAGGTCTGTTAAGCAAATCCCAACAAATGCTGACCTGGTATACAGATTTGAGCTTTTCAGGAGGCAAGGTTGAGATATTTTGAGCCGGATCAAACCCCGGTGGAGAAAAACTCTCCAAACCACTAAATAAAATGAAATATTTTCGGAAGAAAAAAAAAATCAATTTTGAGAAATAGGAGATGATTATTGAACAAAAAAGAATGCGATGAAGATTATACCTCATGCCGGAAAGAGTGGGCTTAACGGGGAAGAAGCCGACGATGAAAAGGGAAAGGCCGATAATTTGAATAATCACAGCTGAGACTGTGAATAATGTCAATTTCGCGCATGTTAATTTGTTGTTATTACTCATTTTCTCTAGTGGGCTTTGGTGTGTGAGCTTCTGAGCTTGTCTCTGTGCGTGTGCGTGTGTGTGTGTGAGAGGAGAGAGAGAGAGAGAGAGAGAGAGAGAGAGAGAAGTTTCTTTGCTGAAACTTTTGCTGTGAACACTGAAGACGACGAATAATTATATTTACGCTAAATTGCATGTCACCCCCTATAAACTTTTAATTTTCACTTTATCCTCTCGAAATTTTAAAAAGTGAACGCCACCCTTCAAAATGTTATACTTGTTGCGCATTCCCGTGCAGTTCCAATGGGTTATTAATCGGAACTGAATTTTTTTAAAACGTTGCCCTTTCAAATGTTATTTTTGTTGCACGTTGCTCCTTCAAAATATTATTTTTCTACACATTGCCCTTTAAAATGTTATTTTTATTCTGCAATACCTACCGAGAATTGACTTTTGGTGCAAAGTGCAATCAAATAATATTTCGAGGAGGGTTATCTCTCTTTTTAATTTTTAGATGGGAAACTGCCAAAATGAAAATTTTATTGGAGATGAAGTGTATTTTGTCATTATATTTAAGGCCCATTTATTTCCTGATCTAGTGATTTACTTTATTTTATTTTATGGATATAACTATTTAGTGGGAGCAAATGGGTTTTATCATTGTTTTCAAAAATATAATTTTGAGAAATATAAAGTAAATGGAGTTAAAGTGGGACAAGATGGTATTGAAAAAAAATAAGAGTTGGTTTAAGCTCCAAGTAAGGTTGTGAGTTCAATTTAAGATATGTTTTTATTTTTAAAAGTTGAGGGTATTTGTCGGATTCCGACTTGTTTTGGTATGGAATGAACTTATAATTACGGAATCGACACGATCATCAGATAATAAGGCTCCATTTGGTTGCCAATATATGATTAGCCAAGATAAGACTAAATAATTTAATGAAACTCAATTGTTTTGTTGGACCTTGGAAGGTCCAACAAAAAACATGCTGAAAAAGTAAGAGGAGTCATGATAACATAATATTTGCGGAACGACCCGATAAGTTATTGAGGATACCAAACATCCAACAAAATCCAATTATTTAGTTAATTGTGGCTAACCACCCCAACTAAACGGGGCCTAAATTTATAACTCTAGCCCATTCTCATTTTGGTCGGAACATATCTACTAATTATTCGATTAGAGTTAGTAAGTGGGATCTCGAACTAAAAAATAGACCCCGGAAGTTAATCAATGTAGGGATGGCAAATTTTATCCGCCCTATTGTCATTCCTAAAAAAAATGTATCTTGAGTAATTGCAATAATTGGGTTGATTGATATTCCTGTATAGTTGATGCCTTCTTAGTAATAGTGTTTGTAAACTTGGCCATTCAATCTTGTGAACTAATCGATTTGAATTTTTAACTTATTTAGGTGAAGTATCTAAATTACCCAAGTAATTCGAATTTAGAGGAGGAAAATAAGGGTTAATACTTAATACGAAAGAAAATAAGAAAAAGTTGGATAATAATTCAGGAAGCTTAATATTGCGAAGAATTTTAAATAGCTTAAATGTCCTATTTTTTTGTTTTAATGATTTGAAACGCGATGTGATAAATGTTATTTCCGCTTTAATACTACTGTTTTAACTTAAAACGTGATTTTGACCATTTTTTAGTCTGAAATTAACAAAATTGAAAGCACGGAACTTGTAGCTTGTTGAGTTAGATTTCTAATTCAAATTGAATCAGATGTTAGATGAGAAATACATGCAAGAATCAACGAACATTGCCCACAACTTTTTGTTTTGAATTATCTAAATAAAAAAATATATATATATAATATTTATACATAACTTTATCACACGTCATCGTTGATACAAGTTGGATTATAAACCTAATTCAAACGACTAGATTTTCTATGTTTTGTATTTTGCCAAAATCAAACTTAGAAAAATAGTCAAAATCATGTTCGAAGTCAAAACAATAGTAATAAAATTGAAACGATGTGCAACATTTCAGATTCGAAACATACATGCCTCAGTTGACGTAATATGCCTCTCAAAACGAACAAAGTCTTCGATTAGGAACAAGTGCAGGACAAAAGATAATTAAATAGATAAAAAATTTAAAAAAAATTGACAAATAAGAGGCAACTCTTTACAATAGAACAAGATGACGATTCACAGCCTTGCCAATAATTCTCAGCACAAACAATATGCATCCATCCCATAATCAATCATTCCACTAACATAATAGATACATACAATAAGGCCCTCAGACAACAAAAAAACAAACATGGGGCCCACTTAGATACACATTTAACACATGTCAAAAATAAAATTCATGACTTAACATCTTTGAGCAGTCCCCCTTTCTCAAGCTCAACAACCAAATCCCTTAGTGCAGGAACCTTCATTGCCAGAGTTCTGTACAACCTCGAATACCTTGCGCGGGTCCCATCTGCTGTCCTAGCTAGGGCAAGCAAACTCAACGCTTCGGGTAATTGTGTGAAGACTTCTTTCATCTCCTCGAGTGCCATGTTTTCGAGGACAGTTGGTTTTGGAACCACTCGGACGATTTCGCCACCCTTCGGTTCTTGCACGCGTGCGTCGGCTTTGATGACGAGTTCGGAGTTCGAGTTAGCCCCACATTTGATGATGAAGGGGGTCGTGGCTCCAGTGTTGAACTGCAGAACGTTCCACTGTGCCACGTCAGTTTCGGAACCTGCTGTTGTTGTTGTTTCTCTGGTGGCCCCCAGTGCTGGGTATTCTAGAAGCTTGTCTTCCTCTTCCGGAGTTGACTGGATAAAAATGGAATTTTCAGATATATATATATATATATATATATATACAAGTGACAGCCGATTTTTTTTCTTTTCTTTTTGCCGTTTTCAGCTTTCAGAAAAGTTATTAAATAGCCTTAGTATATGCATACATCTACAGCATATCGAGCTTCTGCAACATGTCTCTTAGCACATGGATGCACATTAATTAAGAAAGTTATTAAATAGCCTTGATTTTTGACAAATTGACCCGTTTGTGGCGAATTATTTTATCTTTATCAATTCACTAATGTGAGGGTAAAGTTGAACAAAAAAAATTGTCGTGCCTTGAAATTCGAAACTTAATAAAGGGGGAAAAAAGTATGTAATGAGAATATGGCGTAGTTATCTGCATACCTCTACAGCATATCGAGCTTCTGCAATATGTCTCTGAGCACATGGATGGTCAAGGTCAAGTAAAGAAGGCATCTGTTCCGAAAGTTCATCTAGAGAAACAAGCATTGCTTTCTTCTTACTCTTGCTCAAAACATTGACAGAGGTTTGCCTCAATATATCCTGTTAATTTAATTGCAAAAGACAATTGAAATTTTTTCGATCTCGACCAAACACCAGTGTAACTGTAACAACAGCATCAAAGAAGAGGAGAAAGAAAAGATGAAAAACCTTGACTTGCTTCATTATGCCATCGAGGGAAATTAATGACGCCAGTCTTGCATCCTCAGCAGCAGTAGAAGGGTTTCGAATGGGCGTCGCACCGTTTTCTAAACTCAACATCACCACATCGCTTTTCATTTGTTGCAAAATCTGATTTGTGCAAAAAAATATAAAAAATCATCTCCATGTACATCGAATAAGTTGGATAATAAGTGCATCCACTTTCATGATAATTCAATTAAATTATCAAGAACTAGCTTATACGATTAGCTTCTAGTAGTGGAAAACATCTTTTGCAGTAATCTTAGTATTCGATTACTTTTTTTAAACTTAAATATTATCCCAAGTCTCACCCGTAATTAGGATTTTTTTTTTTAAAAGGGTAGAAGGATATAGAGAGGTGTGATATAAAAATTCAAGAAAATCTGTCATGCTATAATGCTAACCTTCCTTCTCTTGTGATCAACAGATTCCAGAGCCGAACGTAGCTTAGCTACTTGTGCAGAGTCTTCTGCCACTTCAGTTGCCAAAGTACCTGCAATATCCTGATGCCCCAATAATATCAGATGATAGAACAAATACATTGTTGTAAAAAGAAAAATAATAACAAAGTGAAACAAGCACATTCACTCGATAAACAGGACACGGACCAAATAAAATAATATTAAAACAGTCATACCTTTAAGTGCTGCATTTGAGAAGTGTAAACACGTCTTGCATATTCAGACAACAGCTGGCCAAGAGCATCGGTGTTAGGAGGCTGTGCCGCTCCGAGTCCGGCCATCCAACCGTCCATTATGGCGGTAGAGAGAAGCTCCAACTGACCAGTTGCACCAGCTACTGTATCATCAGCGACCGCAAGGAAATCGAAATTCTCAGCGAGCCAATTTCTGATTTGCCGCTGGAGCTCACCAGCTGGCGTATGAACGAATAGAGCTGCAAGAGCCTTGTTTCCGGTTGCAAAACCTTTTGCTTCCTCTGTTATTTCCCTGAGTTTTCCACCTGTTATAGCATGTCTCCAGGATTCCTGTATGTATATGTAAAGTAAAGCTTATACAGAGCACAAGGACGAGGAAGCACTATTCTATTCCGAATATCCAAAACATCTATCTATTCTGAGTGGTCAAAGAGAAGAAAGGAAAAAATATTCATCGGAACATTTCAGAGAAGTTTTTCTTTCTTTCCTTTTTTCCCAAAAAATGACCTTGCATATGAATTTCCGAATATCGCTCTAGTTTAGTTACATAGCTGGACAAGCGGGAAGAAAAGTATCACACAATTTACCTGATCGATTCCACGTATCTTAAGAACAACTGAAGACAACTTTGACTTCTTTTCTGCTTTGATATTTACTTTGAACCCCTGAATGTGTTCCTCAATCAGCATATTCCTCGTGCTTGAATCATAACGAACTGGAGATCTTCCAGGGCTGCTACCACGGCTAGAGCTTCTACTACGTCCACTATTAGGCTTCTCTAGAAAGCGCTCAACAGGAGAAACCTATAACAAAAAAAACATCATTTTGCTTGAATAGATGCACGATTTTTTTTGGAGTCAAAAGGAATTGTCTCGGTGAAATAGAGAAAATTTTGTTTATGCAACCAAGTAGTAGGCAAATGAAAAGAGAACAATTTCTTGTAGTACCCTGATCGACTGTAGCTCTGGTGAACGAGCAAGCAGGGATCGTATGTAGAGAATCCTAACACGGGAAACAAGCATGGTATCCATCACCCTTTTAGGCTCCATTTTACGAATAAAGGCAAAAACGGAATCTCTAATTTCAGCAAGTATTTCATGCTCTCTAGAAGCACCTGCCTTAATGACTGCAGCCAAAACCTACCATATTGCAGAATAAACAGTTTTTTTCAGTAAAAGCAAAATCCATTAAAGGAGTAAGATATAAAGCAAATGATGATAACTCAGTATATTCAGAATTTTCGTAATAGAGACATTCCATCAAACGTTTTACCAAATTAATAAAATGAGACCAAATAACAACAATAGACCAACAGCTCTTAATATTGGATAGTTCTACAGTAGGATATGTGAATACTATAATTTATCCATACCAGCATCAAAAGCTTATTTGCTCCATCTGAGATGGCAGCAAGACTGTCATATTGTTCCGGATCAAAATCATTCAGGGCAGATGTAAGATATTCTCCAGCTGGGGTAGTTTTGACGAGATCAGTACCAGATTTAACCAATGCAACAGCTCTCTCTGTCTTTTCAGAGGCTAATACCAAAGCACCAGCATCACCCGGTTGTCCCTTGGTATTATTATTATCATTCCTGTCATGGAAAACCCAAATAAAGTGAGGGGAGGTGGGGCGACAAAGGGATCTATCAAGAACTGTAAATGAAGAAATGACGGAAAAGAAAAATCAAATTTAAGCCATTTACAAATCAGAACGGAAAGATACCTTCCTAAGTCACGAGACATACTGGGTGGTGGTCCCTTGGGAGATGGGCTTGACACCTGAAAAGATCAAGCATGTAAATTTTACATGTATAAATAGGAAACTGGCTACAGGCTACAGCACAAGACAACAGAGAAACACAGAAATGAATAGCTGTCAGACCATGCAACATATTTCTATAGGATAAAGAACCTGAGGTGATGCTGCTAAGGAAGCTTTTTCTGTCAACCGGTCAAACAACTTCTCGTTCTCTTCATGTAATTTCTGCCAAAAATTTAAACAAAATGAACGTACTTTTCTAGCATTTCAGATGAAATTCTATAAAAAGTATCTGATAAAAGCACTCTATTTGACAGCGAACGCAATAAAGTACCTCAATAAGTGTATCCCGTTTCTTCAGTTCGTCCTCAAGTCTCTTGGTGACTGCAGTAGATTCAATGTCATCCCCTGTGGATTTCTTGCTTGTATCTTCTCCAGACAGTGATGCAGAGCCATTTGTTGACCTAGTCTCCTTGGAAAGAAGAGCTTCATTTAATTGTGACTCAACACTCTTCAGTTTGGCCTACAAACAGGTATCAACAGTGGTGAGGATCAATGATCAACTTGTATAGCTATCTGTTTCTCAAGCTGCTGTATGAAGTTCAGATTTCGTAATAGCTGTGAAACTGCTTGCTGAACTCAAAACATGAACCTTAGGAATATAAAGCTAGAGCAACTTAAGCATTTCTTACCATGAGATGTTTTAGTATATTTGGCACAAAATGAAGCTGTTAGGTCACCGTATCTGAAATCAACTTAATATATTTCACTATAGCGAGTCTCAAAGCATTTATTTAGATATAAATTATAAATAGATTTTGCTAGGAAGTAATGTAAGATTCTTTGAGTGGTATTCGATGGGGCACAAGTAATGCGAGTGCCATAAAGCGTAAAATTGAACATCTACAAATTTTAAAATGAACGTGTACAATTTACTACAAGTCTTGGACACCAAAGATGAGGGCTGAGAGCTATATTATTTTCAAGTTTTAACAAATTGAGAAAGAGGACAGTGTGATCATTCAAAAGAAGCCAGAAAAAGGATCCCAAATTCATGAAACGAGTAACCACCAAGATAACAATCAAGTTCAAAGACCAATAGTAATTTTTCTTATGAGAATGCATAATTGTTTTAGAAAATATTACTTTCTGGTAGTATTCTGAAAAAAAGTTGCAGAAAAAACTGCCGAAGACACAAGAATTTAAACCAACATTATGTCCACCTAGCATCCCCGGAGCATGAGTTAAGAATTTCAATGACTACATCTTCAAATATAGAGGACGAAAATGAACTGAGAAATGGACTCGATTCGTCTTATTTAACAAATATAAAATATATAGTATTTCATCAACTTCTATTAATTAAAAAAAGCATGGACCCACTTGATGAAGAAGCAACGCGAAACAACATTGTAATTGTACAGTATTCAAAGAATTTTACTAGATGGTCACAGAAAATCTATAATAAATATCGAATAAAGGAAGGTTTATACAAAATTCTTAAGCTAACCTGTAACATTTGAATTGCTGAATCTCTTTGTTCTATATGCAATTTTTGGTCTTGCTCCACCTGTAACAGTTGAGCAATTTGGTTCCGAAGATGAACATTATGTTCCTTCTCTATCTTATGCTTATCTGCTAGCATCATATTCTCTGTCTGCAAAAAACCATAAAAATTCTATGTTGTCAGAAAGAAACTTAAAAGAAGATCATCAAACAGAGTCTGTCAGTTACAACTTACAGGAAGCACAACTGAAACATCATTTGCCTCTGTAACAATATAGTGCTTCAAAAATATATACCGGAAGGAGAATAACTAACAGGTACTTTTATGAGAAATTGATGTATACTACATAGACAAAGAAAAGGTACATAGACAAAGAAAAGGTAAACAAATGGATTTGTATCTTATTATACTGTCACTGATATGCAATGGAAAAACAAGCAATTATTCATGTGAAAAGTCTCCAGGTTCCTAAAATATGATGAACATTAACAGGTTGTCATCTCTTCAACAACCAAAAAAACAAACAAGATAAACTGATCGTAAGTTTTGGAATATCATAATGGCAAACTTATTCCGCTAAATTTGAAAATTAGATAATCGAGAAAAAACAATTGGTAGGGTTGGAGTAGAACCATCCCTAAATAAATTGATGGGTTGCTATGGATTTCTCTCTTAATTTGTAAATGGAAGCATTTTCACTCTAATAAGGCTAAAAGATATCTATACTTGAACAAATTACTAGGTTAGCTTGATTTAAGGAATATGGAGGAATTAACAGTAATGAATATAGTCTAGATTACACACAAGATGCAAAAAAATCTGCTACATTGACACAGCAAAAATTAAAATTCTGAATGATCTTTCAAGAGTAACAAAACAAAAAAAATTAAAAACTGAAGTAACAAACCTTTAAATCTGACTGCAATGTGAAAGAAACTTTCCACGCTTTCTGAACTTCATTGAAGAGTAAAACGCATTGATCATTTGCATGCTTTAAATCCTGTTTTAGTTCCATGCTTTCTAACTTCAGATCGCTGATTTCCTTTTCCTTCTCAAGCAATTCTTTACGTGCATCATTGGCCTAAAATAGTTACAATTGAAATTTAGAGACAGGTTATAGTCACATAATTTTATCTTGACAATCATTTACCGACATGCACTCATCACGAAATTATCACAAATGCAGAAAGTGATCAGAGTCTTAAAATTTCCCTATATAGAAACTGTTGATTCCGAGTTAGTGCTTCCCCAGGAAAGTAAAGGCTACAAAGCATGCTCAAATTGACAGTCTTTTTCCTCTCCCTATCTAGTGACATGACTAGCCCTGATGGGATGAAAAGTGCCAAGATCCTATCTATTGATGCCAATACCAAAAGAGATAAAGGACTTACGACATCTTTCCACTTCTTGATTGTATCTCGATTTCCAAGGCTCAGCATAGCATTTCGAGATCTAGAAGCAAAATTAAGGGATGATAGTGTCTCGGACATGTTTGGCATATTAGGGCAGATGTTAACAATCATCAAAGTTTTGGAGCTTCCACCTGCATAAAGAATGAAAATCCATAAATTAGTCTAAAAGGATAAGAGAGCCATTAAAAATTGACCAATGAGCGTAAAACTGCAGAATAACTTCCTTCAGAAGAAAGAGAACATTCTCAAAATTCAACCATAACAATACAGAAAGGATGCAAATTGTAGACAAGGAGGCTTTTTACCCTAAGTTAGAGGTTTGAAAGTTCCTAGGAGGTTTTACATCTCCCTCACAACCTGTCATGAAGGAGGAATCAAAGAAGTTATGCAAGTAGACCAGATAACTTTATCTTCATAAGTTCACATATGTTGGCATCTCCTCCAATCCTTTTATTTCCCACTTTCTTGATTGAGAGATATTGTTACAGGTCTAAACTCACCAGATTTAGAAAGGAAATCAGAGGAAGAGTCTCTATAAACTCATGGCGCAGTTACATCATGCATATAAGATTATAGGGTGCAGACAGGCAAAGCAACACCATAACAAATAATCTGGTTAGTTTTCAAAGTTGGACATGCCTTCTGCTGAATGCACATCCAAAATATGCTCACATATATCTGACTGTAGTCCTTTTTTCTTTTTCTTTCTTTTAAATGGCATATTACATTTATCTCCAGATTGTATGAAATTAATATTAGTAGACTAGTATTATTCCCTGCAACAATCAAATCAAGGTAAGCAATAAAGAACAAATTAGTGAACTGCGTTTTTTTTAGGAGAGAGACGAGACTTGTCTATGTCTTATGCACAAATTTTACACCAAAGATGATAATTTGAAATATGCACCATCTCAAATTCAGAACGTAAATCTCAAGGTTAGGTAATAATTGAAAAAAGACATGGATACCTAGTGAATCTGCAAGAACGTTTGTTAGCACTGAGTTTTCATACGGAATATTGTCCTTCTTGGAGGTTAAGGATGCCACAACATCACCCAATCTGCACATAAAATTAGAAGCTAATGAGGACAACAGAAAAGGTAGCAAAATTACATCTTTAAGTTAAGATATTATTTAATTCATAGCAAACACTGTAAGATGTCCAAACTGAAGATAAAAGAATTGTATCGCTATTGAAGGAAAATCAAAAACGGGACTTTCACTTACGCTGAGAGGGATTTCAAGACATGCAACAACTCCGTTGCACGTTCACCAGTTTCCTCCTCTACACTTGACTCTCGCTTCCAGCCAAATCAACTAGAGAAAGCTTGCTATATATGTTCTCACCCGTGATCACATTCTTATAGTATATATGCACCATGACAATCCTACAACAAACACAAGCATAAGAAAAACAAATAGGTTAATAACAAGAATCCTGAAAATATAGAAATTAAGGCCTTTACAAAAACAAAGCGGAATAAGAATGAGTATACTAATACATACAGCTGTTTATTTCGCAATGATAGATGAAATGAATTTTCATAGTAATGAAGTTTAAATATTTCAGAAATGACTTAAGTTGTAACACAGAAACAGGATAAATGTTAGAAACTATGTTGCACAATTCTTTTGTAGTTTAATTTTAAATGGAGCCCTAAGCATCTACGACTGTGGAGGGGTCAACTTTCAGCCATACAAAAAAGAGTGGTCAATTATGTTCCACTCACAGGACCCCATTCTGGGTAGAATGCTTTCCATTAAAGTTAATATTGTGGAATATCAAACTATCCTTCACATCAAAGTTCTCTTTTCTCAAGCACTTCTCATTAGCAGCTCCAACAGCTGCCAGGAAAAATCAGCCCTTATTCTGTTAAACAACCTGACATCCTTTGGCAATCCATGTACAATTCACTTATCTTCCGAGGCTTTATGGAAATTTCCCAAAGCTATCGCAATCACCATATCATAGTAGTTGGCAGGTACTGCATCAAACCTTATGCTAACTTTATAAACTTATTTATTGATTGAGAAAAAAGCGGACTATAGCCAAAACTGACTTCCCTAAAACAATATTTAAGATGATCATCCTTCACCATTATTCATTGGACCTGCATGTGAGCTCTACACCTCTACCAGTCACTGCATCAGCTGCAGTTATCTCATATATCAGATGTTGCTTACTGATATCCCATCAGATTTGATCAGATTCCTGCACTATCCGAGAATGCTTCAGATGCGTGACAGTAGGTGTCGCCATTTGGTAAATTTGATGCAACTTCACAGTACCCCAATCCAGTCTCTATAAACCTAAAAGCTAACAGTTCTTCTGCCATACAGGCAGGGGTATCTTAATGCTTTGCAAGTTTATTGTTGAGGACATCGGCCTCCCACATATTCGGTCACAAAGACAATAAAGTAACAATTAAAAAGGAGGGTCAAATAAAACGAGCCATCGGACAAACAGACATAAGCAGTAATACCCAAGATAAAAATGCAGTAAAATTGGCAAAACCATACAGATGCGAGACTTTAAACTTGGAAATGTCAGCTCCTCGATTCTGGAAAGCTGTTTTGAGAACTCTGGTAAACTCTATTGGATTCTCAACTTTTTCCTGCACAAGTTCTACAACATAATCCAACGACCCAATACAGACCTTTGATAGAGAATTTCCAGACTCCAGAAGCAAATCTTTTATCTGCAAGATTCATGAATCCCGGCATCAGATATCAGCATGATACTTTTAAGACACTAATAATCTTTTGAAGAATCAAGAGAGATCTTTTTTATGTCACGTAGTATAGATGAACTAAAAAATGAAACAAACATCAAATTATGGTCTTTTTAACGGCATAAAGATATTATAGACTAAATCTTAGAGATAGATATGTTTATGATTTACCTAGCAGTAAATGGTTCACATATTTCAAAGTCAAAGTAGATACTCAACTTAGATTAAAAAAATCTCGAATGATCCAGGAAATCTGATGATTTTTGACAAAAACATAACAATATTTAAGATAATTTATGTTTCAGTAAAGATAATAATACATCTATAATGTATTACTAAACTTCACAATTTAGATTTTGGTCTTACATTTTCTCGCGTAGAACTCTTTATATAAAAGATGACCTTGTTTGGTGTTTCCAAAATTAGGTACTTGCTGTGTCTTCAGACAAAAGTTAGTACCTGCTCTGCCTTAGTCAATATATCTTAAACTTTAATTATGGTGTTTTACTAATTTTTACAGATCATAAGTTGTTTGATTACTATGCATTGTTTTCTCATATAAAACTACTCTCTTCACTAATTAAATACAGGTTTTTGGGTCTTCCAATATTACGTGTTCTTAAACTTTTTTTATTTGATAGTAGAACAAGAGGTGTTTGCCAAAAATTAAAACATCAATCAGGTGGATGCCAATGCCCCAAACCTCCAGATAGGGGATCCAACTGACCGATCAGAGAGAAGTTGAAGATATTGTAAGCATTATATTCTACAACTACATGATGCTGAAGGAAAGGAACCTGTTCATTATAAAGCTCAAAGGCTGAAACTGAGAAACTATATCGGGAGACTGAAGTTGCATCAGAGTTGGACAGATCAAAAAGCTCCTCAAAAGACCGAGCATATAAGCCACGATCGTGGCTAGATCCTTCCTGTAGGAAGAAAAACATATCAAATCTAAGAACCATATATTTAGAATAAATTAACCACATGAGAGAATCAATTTTTGTGCCATGTTTACTCCTTACTTCACTCTAGTTTCTACATCTCTTAATATAATTCATGAAAGGCATGCTATAAATAAATAGGAAAAATGGCTACGTTATTCCAAGCAAGTATATCAGTGTCAGGGAAACACACAGATGCAGGAATGCACATTTATGAAGATACATCAACTGCCAGATAAACTGATAATCACATCATTTTTGTAGAATACTGAAGGATGGGGAGAGAAGGAAGAGAAGAGAGACCATAGTATACGTCTTTCCTGAGAATGTTGGCCCATATGCAAATACAGAAACATTATATCCATCAAATGCTGACTGAACAAAAGGCTGAATATCAGCAAAAAGTTCCGCTGCATAAATGAAGCCTATAAGTTAGTAGAGTTCTCAGCTCAGATAAGGAAAGTAAACCAGTGGTAGGCATTTCACCTTGTCCAACGTGTGGTCCATAAACCCTGTCAAATTCAAAATCTTTCTTTGGATTGGAGAGATTATTGTCCCCCGTATTTATGCGAATTGTACAATCATCAGGAAATTCAACAGCATTTGGACCCTCATCTTCAAAAAGTGGCCTTGCACGACAAAACACCTTCACATTTCCTGTGGTAAGCCCAGGTGCGGATACATGTGATGATCAGGAAGTAGCTTGTGAAATAACACGTGCCTTTATGTGTAACTTTAAGTAGGAAGAGCTGAAGAGAGAGAATATAAGAAAGCTTGGAGAAGAAATAAGTACCTTTGGCTGTCAATAAGTCATTAAATAACCTTTTCTTCTCAGATAGGAGGGGAGAAAGTTTAGCTTCTGTCTCAAGGGCAGCCTGATCTGAAAGTAGGTGTCATTTGCGGGAAGTCAACCACATAACGGCAAAGATACAGAACAGTTTATTAAATAGGCAGATAAAAACTACACCTTAATAACAGCTATTATGCGTGATTTGCCACAAAGAGGATCTTAACAAGTAATTAAGTTATCTTATACCGGACGCGGTTTAGTAAGTAGCATTTGGTTCTTATGGTAGAAAAAGTGAGTTAAGGTGTTGTTACACAAATTTACTAAAAGAAAAAGGTAGGACCCTAAGGGGAACAATTGTGAATATGATTATAAATAGTTGCAGAAGAAACTGAAGTATTGTTAATATCATAATATTTTTTTAATTGAACACTTTGACAAATATTGAAGAAAATACTTCATTATAACAACTAACAACTTTTACTTGGTTTATAATCAAGACAATTTCTTGAGTCAAATTGATATAATTTTACCTAGCTTACGGGTTTTGTCAGCAAGTACACCTAAGTAACGAGTCAATCGATCAAGTTTTGCACTGGAATATTCTTGAAGATCAATAGCCTCTTGTCTCAACTGCGAGTAGTCTTCTTTGACAAGCTGTCAGAAAAAAAGATGACCATTTTAGAGAAGTGAAAAGGCTGGGAACAATGGAAACATGCTTACAAAAAACAAAGGATAAATCACCACAGTAAATCCAAATATAAAAATTATAGATACGCTAATGAATTCTTAAAAAGGTGTGTAAACCACGAAGCAACTAATGATGCACTAAAGTGAACTCCAAAGTTGGCTGTTAATAAAAATCTCACGCGGGGAAGGAAAATGGTATTCGAACTTCAAAAGAATAACTGAAGCCTCCTGAGAATTTTGATTTGCAGCGATTAACACTTTTTATGGTCATATAATCAAGACTACAGGTTCTACTAGCTATGGTAGCCTTGTTGTTTTTCTTTCTTTTTCAAATTTCTTATCTACAAACTAATGTATGATATTATGATTGTCTCGAGCTAAACATCGATATATCGGACCAGGGACTCTTGACCTATATCCTTCCCTACACTTCACATGGCATATAAACTACAACAGACACAAAATGTGCTCTAATATGAGTCCTTGAGATTCCCAAAAGTTGGAAAGCTAGTGAAAGATTTTAAATGACCACTTCTCTAAAAACTTAAGTTGATAGGGATGTGAATCATTTAATATTTAGTAACCCTACCCTCCCCCTCAAGTGCAAGCATAATATTTAATGAAGACTTGCACATGAAACTTTTAAATGGATTGCATTGACATCCAAACTCGGGACCTCTTATTAGTCATGTTTTGATAGTACGTTGAATGACCACTTCATCTAAAAGCTTAAGTTGTTAGTGAGGTGAATCATTTAATATTAAACAACACTACAGAAGTCAAATAGATAAAGATAATTAATAAAAAGGACCTCCATACTAGCACTTTGCAACTTTTGGCCACAAGACCAGTGAAGTAAAAGTTATCGGTTTCAAATTTGCACATTACGAAGTTTAAAGATATTATCAACAATTTCACGTTCATAAATTAATAGTAAGAAACTAATGATGTTGGAGAGTATTTAAGTATTTTGGTTTCTATTGTTAAAAAGTGAAAAAGAAATTGGAAAGGCCCAGTCCTTCCCACAATAGCCATTTACTAAACAAATATCCTGAAACACATAAACTTTTACTGCAAAACCAGACATTTTACCAGGAAAAAAAAACAATTTGAAGAAGAGTTATCATAAACAGAAGTACTATCAACTTCTCCTGTTTCTAATCTAAAAAAAAAAGAAGAAAAAAAATCAACACACACCATGATAAAGGGACTGTGAATTTTATTTTATAATTCACATGTTCATAGAGTAGAGATGTGTTTCCCAAAAGCGACTATGAATTTTATTTTAAACCAAAAGGATGATGCAGGAAGTAAATTAGGGTAGGTTTAATAACTGGGAAAGTGAAACATCAATTAAATACATATACAACATTAATAAGTTTCCAGATCAAAGGGCCGAGTTCTGCTATAAGGAAAATTCTGTCCAATCTTATGATAAATGTATTTCACTACTTGCCTACTTTGTAAACCATAAAATAGCAACCAAATTGTTTCTCTAGTGTATAATAGAGGTTTGTGAGATGTAAACTATCGCCATTTATCACTATATCAAACATAGCTTCAACTGAATAAATGGATAAGCTTCTCCACATGCTGATCTTCGCATGCTCTCGGGTTTAGAATACTATACATGGAAGGATAAATACCATTCAGCAGAGCAACAGCAACCACTAGATTAATGACCTATGCCTGGAAGAGCAATTACAACCTATTATACTTATCAAAATTTGTTCTGATACAGAAAACTATCATTCTCTAAATAGTTTCAAATTCACCACTATTTTTTTTTTATCTACAACTATTTCCTCTAATAACAATAAATTGCTAACTACATCAAAGCACAACTATTTCTAAGCACTCTACTCCGCCTTGTAATTTGATCAATTTCTTAAATCTACGGCTCAAGCAAAGAAAAGAACACCAGCTACAAGCCACCATCTTAAAATCTAAAACAATAATTCAAAAATTTACCTACCAAAAAAATCAACACAACAATCACTTCAAACTTCAAAGTTCATGTCCACAATAATCAATTTTCAGAAATCTCCAACGCAATTCCAAGTATATACCTCGGTTCATAACAATCTCTAAACTAACTCAAATTCAGCTGGTTTTCTACACTCGACTAACCCAGCATTTCACTCATCTACACAACAAAAGCAGCTAAAATTTCAAAGAAGAAGAAGAGCAAAAAAAAAAATCAGTTCAAATTTCTTTGATTAAAAAAAAAAAAAAAAAAAAAAAAGAAGGAAGAAGGAAGAAGAAGAGGAAGATGGATAAAAGTGGAACCTTGACTTTATCTTTCAATCGCATGAACTTGGAGTTGACGGCATGCTTGTAGAGCTCCGAATGCGAAGAAATGGACATGGAGTAGCGCCGCCCAGACAACGGCGGCGCCGATGCCTTTTTGTAATCATCTCTCTGCTCCACCGATTTTCTCGGCTCGAACCCAGCCACCTCCCAATTCCACCGGTTATTACTCCCCTTCTGGTCCCCCATTTCCAAAAATCACCACCACCAGCAAATTGGCCCCCCAAAACAACTAATTTATAAACAAACAAATCAAAAACCTGCAACAAAACGAAAATGGGGGGTTTTCGTTTTTCCGCAGAAACTGATTAAAAACAAAAAAAATAAGTTGCGAGAAGAGTTGTTCTTCTTTCCGCCACTGAATTATGGGGGGTTTTAATTATCCGTTCGGTTTTGACAGCGTAATACAATTCAAACGAATTAGAAAATGGTGGGGGGGAGATTGAGACAGCGGCGTGTTTGGATGGGTGGTTTTGTAGTGGGCCACATTTGGGGATTCAGGTTCACAGAAATTTTTTGATTTGGGATTATTGTGGCTGGCTGAGTTCACGAGTTACGACTCGCTCTCAGCATTCAAAACAATAATGTGATATGTTTTTTTCCTTTATGAGTTAATTTTGGATTTGCTTTGGAGGGAGATGGAAGGTATCTTTACCAAGAGTGGAAACTCTTTCAAGTTAAAATTTTCAAATTTCAATTCGAGTTCGGTTATTCTTATAACTACGATCTAAGTTGCGATTTTCGATGCCAACATTTTTCAGGTCAGGTCGAGCTCGTTGTATAACGTTTGGATAGATCTCTCGTATGTTTACGATTGTAAATCACACCAATTCGATCTTTGATTTTGAAATTGTTTGTTAAAAACTCGTTTGAACTGATTTGTTAACTTAACGAAGTAAGCTTGAACACGTATTTTTGTTCGATATACCGTGAAGCTGGACTCGAATTTTATTAGAAGAAAAAAAAATAAAGTTGCTCGAGCTCGTTTTTTGTTATGTTCGATTAAAGTTCGTTCGAGCTCGACTCGATTGCTTTAGTATATACCAATCTCAAACTCAACTTTGAAGCTCGACAAAAGTTTAAACAAGTTTGAACAACCATGTGTTCGGCTCGACTTGATTTGTTTACGCCTCTACTTGATATGGATAGGGGGAGGAATCGATAATTCAAAAACCATAAGAGAAATACTTAAATTGGACGAAAGAAAAAACAATAAAGAAAATGTACGAAAACATCGAGCTACTCGAGCCTTCAATCGTTGGGTCAATCTTAATTTTTAGTGTTATACATTTTGATGCACTCGTTCACAAACGTGTTGGACCAACAACGATTAGTTGGTTCTAAATAATGTTTTTAAAACCGAACTACACGTGAATAGGCCAATCAACTGGGTCACACTCAAATAGATTCAACCATTTTTTATATAATACTTTTCTTTTAAAATAAATTATTTATATACAGGTTTAAAGTGATTACTTTATAACTATACATTCAAAACACGTATTCATCATAAAAAAAACCAACCTAAAAGTTATAATTCAATTAATTAATTATACACGATGTAATTGTAACATAAAGATAATTAAATTATAGGGTAAATTACAAACACCCCCTGAGATATGGTCGAATTACAAAAACACCCATCTTGTTTGGATAATTACAACCACCCCCTCAACTCCTCACATTTAGTGGAATCTTCGAGATTATATGGAATATTATCACTTTTGTATCCGTTTTATCCTATTCAAACCCTACATTATGAAGCAAGATGATCATAATATGTGATTTTTAGCTTGTATATATCAGTTTGTGGTGCATCAAAAACTGTATTTTTTACACAAAACGAGTACAAACTAGAGCACATTTCACGGAATCTAGATGACTATGTTGAATTTGGTACCATAAAGGTGGAGGTCTAAGAAAAAATCATAGTTGAGGGGGTAGATGTAATTATCCAAACAAGAGGGGGGTTTTTGTAATTTGACCATACCTCAGGGGTGCTTGTAATTTACCCTAAATTATATCTTCTACATAGTAACATAAAGTTTAGAAATTATACATATTTAAATAAAATCTACCAAACACAAATTCTCAAATATAATAAATATGTATAACAAATAAAGATTTTAATTTCATAAAATCACACTGATATAATGCCAATTAATTAAACCAATAATAAATGGTCCAAAAGTAGCACTATAATGTTTGATATTGAACCGGGTTTTTCCCGGTTCTACTCGTTCAACCGTTTTCCGGGTCATAATTAACCGGACCCGGGTTCCTTCTTTTCTAGTCTTTATCAAGGAATCGGGTCGGACCTGACAGCATAGGTCCGTTTCCTGAACTAGGACACGGCGTCGCTTCCATGTACCGCCTCCGCCGCCGACTCACCTCTCCGCCACCACTCCTCCTCCACACGCTCGCCGCCGCACAAGGCGGCGAATCCTTCATCACAAACTCGATCCCCCCATCTCAAATTGCATCCCTAATTTCAGAGCAGAAGTGGTCACATCTCAAACCCATAATCGAATCCTCCGACCCGACCCGTTTCCTCCACCAGCTACTCCACTCCGACGAATTCGACACCGCCCTCGTCCTCTCCTTCTTCAAATGGTCGCAGGCCGATTTTCAGGTAACCCACTCCACCGAACACTACGTCAAGCTCTGTATTCTACTCGCGAACGACAAAAAATACCCCAAGATCCGTTCTTTACTGCACACATTCGTCAAACGATGCAAACTTATCTCAATCCCCAATTTCTGCAACGCCCTTTTGACCCTCGGCGACGATTCGTGCGCGAACAGCGTCGTTTTCGATATGCTGATACTCGCCTGCGTGAAAAACGGCAGGCCCGAATTAGCGCTGGAGGGGTTTCGGCGGGCCCGCGATTACGGGCTCAAGCCGTCGTTGATTTCGTGTAATCCTATGTTGTCTGCGTTGTGTAACGAATGTAGGATAGGCGATGTGGAGTTTGTGTACAAGGAGATGGTTAGGAGGAAACTCGTGCCGAATTTGATCACCTACAATACGGTGATTAGCGGGTTCGGCAAGGCCGGGAAGTTGAACAAGGCGATCGACGTAGTCGAGAATATGAAGATTAATGGGGTTTCGCCGAATGTGGTTACTTACAACGCTTTGATTACCGGGTATTGCAAAAAGGGTGGGGCCGGTAGAATGTATAAAGCCGACATGCTATTGAAGGAGATGGTGGATAGTGGGATCTCCCCGAATGTAATCACGTATAATATTTTAATAGACGGGTTTTGCAAGGACGATAACGTGGCTGCGGGTATTCGGTTGCTTAAAGAAATGCGAGCGCGAGGTTTAACCCCGTGTGTGATCACGTATAATACGTTGATTAATGGATTATGCGGTAGTGGAAGAATCGAAGAAGGAATTCGGTTGAGGGATGAAATGTCGGAATCGGGTTTGGAGCCGAATATCGGTACTTACACGGCGCTCATTAACGGGTTTTCGAAGAAGAATTTGTTGGAGGAGGCTCGGGAGTTGTTCGACGAAATTATCGAGAAAGGTGTTGTTTCTGTCAATGTATTGGCTTTCAATAGTTTGATCAACGCGTATTGTAAAGCGGGCAAATTGGAAGAAGCGGTGTGCGTACGCAATTTAATGCCGGAGAAAATGGTTTCCCCGAACGTCTCTACGTACAATTGCTTGATCGGGGGTTACTACGAAGATGGGAACGCGGAAGCTGCACGGAAGCTTCTAGAAGAGATGGAGGAGAAGGGTTTGGTACCCGATGTGGTGACGTACAACGTAAGAATAAACGCAATGTGCGACGTAGGCGAAACGAGAAAGGCGGTTCGAATTCTTGACGAGATGCGGAAGAAGGGAGTGGACCCGAGCCACATTACGTATAATGCTTTGATTGGTGGATACTGCAAGCAAGGAAACCCTAACGCAGCTCTGACTTTGAGGAAGAGAATGGAGAAAGAAGGGAAGCGGTCGAATGTCGTGACGTATAATTTGTTGATCAAGGGTTTTTCCGAGATCGGTAAAATGGAAGAAGCAAACGGATTTCTTAACGAGATGTTGGAGAAAGGGTTTGTACCTAACGAAATAACCTACGGCATTATTAAGGAGGAAATGATGGATAAGGGATTTGCACCGGATATAGACGGGCATATGTATAACGGCAGCTCTGCTAAAACTTAGATAGTGAATTTACCGATACGCCCTTGTAAACGGGCTTCCCCTATTTTCTCACTGTCGTATACTCGGAATCAAGAAAGGCCGATTTTTTTTTTTTTTTTTTTAATTACCTGTCCTTTTGCGCCTTTTTGAGTTAATATTTTGTAGACATGATCAAGAATTGCGTAATGCGAAAGCTTGTGAAAATATTTTTCCGTTTGTTTTATTCGACCATAGAGTGATGAAAAATCAAGCAGGCTAAAACCTATTGAAGGTGATTTTCTTTTCCTTTTTTTTTTTTGTGACGGGGTTAAATTTTTGCATTCGTTCTTTCTAGTTGCTCTCGCCTTAATGGTTTAAAGTGAAACTTGACGACCGTTGTAATTTATGCTAAAACTATTTTCGTTATCGTTTTCGTTCTCCGAGAATTAAATTTAACACACATCATGTTTTTCAATAAATGTTCAGTTCTAATTCAGAGATATGTAAATCTTTATTAATTCTTGTATTTTTCACTTTGGTTGCAGAAAATAATTTAGAGATGAGTTAGAGAAGAATGTTTCTTTATGATGAAAAGTAAGTGATGTTTACTGTGTTTTGAGTAAACATAGTTTGTTTCCCCCATTCAATTGATTTTATATTATATATTGCTTGTGATTAACATATATATTATAATTTATAATCAATGAACATATTGACAACTAAACCCTGCATTTTTTTCAAATATATTTACTTGACAAATATTTAACTTAATAATCATAGTTCTTTGTAAAAATCAAATTTCGTACAATTAATTTTATAAAGTAAAATTCATGTAATAAATAGTTTATCTTGGGAAAATATATTTTTATTCATGGCTTAATTTTCATTTATTTATTTCTACAGTGTCCTACTTATTTAAATAAATTATCTATAATATTGAATATAAAAACTATAACTAAACCCGCCAAAACATTTTATGTGTTATGAAATGTATTTCAATGTGGATGTACAAAGGTCACGATAAGTTTAATTCTCCTTAATTATATTGTAACTATTGTCCTTCTAATTGTCTTATTTGTGCTATATAAAGAACACATTGTAATGAGTTGTACACACTTGACGATATGGAATAGTATATCACTTCTTCCTACATTGCTTTTTTTTTGGGTAATATGCTAGGAGCCCCTAAAACGAGACTTAATTTGAACTAAATGACAAGTTCAAATTCAATCTTGTAATTAAATCCTTAGTTTGAAATAATATATGAGGCACATCCCTATTTTTTTTGTTATCCCTATGTTGCCCTTGTACCCTAAATCCTATAACTTATACATTCACGTTTCTTCAATTCTCATATTTATTTTTCTTCTTTTTATTTTTTTTCTCTCGCACGTTCTCTCTCCCTCTCCATCTCCTCTCTCACGTTCTCGTTCTCTCCCTCTCCATCGTATCTCTCACGTTCTCCCTCTCTCTCTCTATCGCCTTTTCTCTCTATCTCCGTTTCTCTCATCTCTCTATATCTCTCTTTTTCTCAAATAGAAGCACGAAGGCCGTCGCCGGTGGTGGCGGTTGGAGAGGAACCAGCAGCAGCGGTGGTGGAGGCGCGACTGCAGGGACTGTGCGGCGGTGGTTGGGGGGGGGGGGGGGGGGGGTTCCCGGGGAAACGGCGAGTCCAGGGCGGTGCGGCGGAGGTTTGCAGGGGATGTGCGGCGGCGGTGTTGGGGCGGATCTAGGGTTTGGTGGCTAAGTTTTTTCGATTTTGATGTCTATAGATTTCTGTGAGTGTCTATGAGTGTCTGGCGGCTGGCGGCTAGGGTTTCAAAGGAGGATTTAGGGTTACACGAGGATTTAGGGTTTCAAGATGTCTGTGGGTGACTACGAATTACTATGGTTTCTACGCGTGTCTGCAAATGACTAGATCGGAATTTAAAAAAAAAATCATAATTTTCAATATTATGTAGAAAAAAAAAAGATTTTTAATGAAGAAAAAAAAAAAGATAAATGTATTCTATGTTAAAAAAAATAAAAAAATGCTAGATGCAAATTAAAAATGTTAAATAATACCATAGTACATCATAGAATATTTACAACCTGACTTAATTTTCAAATTTTTGAGTGGAGGGGTATTTTTGGAATGAATTTTGATGAAGGATGTCAAGCAAATTTTAATTAGGCTTGTCATTTAGTTCTAATAAGGTTTGTCACGAGGGACTTATATCTTAAGACCCTTTTTTTTAATATTATTTCCTAGATTCTTACCACGTTATCAGAATAATTGTTCTATTTTCATTTTCGAGTAAAGATGATCCAAAGAGGATAACATCTCAACCAAATATGAAGAAAAGGGAGTTGATTTCAAATATTTTTGTTGTTGTTCTGAATTGATAAAATATTAACCATCTTAATTTTGTTGTAGGTGAATTTTGTGCAATTCACGAGCATGTACTTCAATGTTTGTTTTGGATCTGATAATGTCCGAATTTTAGAAAGTTAAAAATATGAAAATTTTAGAATTTTTTGTTGGTTGTTCGGAACATTTTGAATCATCAAAATCGGTTCTTGATCGAGAGATATGCTTAAAATACCCAGCTCTACCAAAATTGTCCCTTGTGCGAATTTTTTAGACGAACATGACGTTCTAAAAACAAAAGGGACGATTATAGGCCAAGAGCCTAGATTACATAGGAGATTAGAAATTTCGATCGAGTATATTAGACTTTAAGTTTAAATGGTAAGACTGTTGAACATTTGAGTTAGTGGGTATTCCCCATTTATAGTGCTATTATTACGCAATTAAGTACTATAACGATTTTTATTATATATTGAGGCTTGAGGCCCAAATCGAGCACGTGCAATAAAACGACTCGAAGATTTGAGTGGTATATTAAAGAACCACTTGCTCTTTAATTTATCAACTTGAAAAGCTCAATCAATCAAAAAAGAACTCGAAGTTCATAAATTTTAGACTCGAAGCCTAGTTTAAATATGAAGGCTTTGAAAGCTTATGTGGAGGCGTATTAAATATAAAGGCTTGAGACATAGATTAAATTGAAGACTAGAAGCCTCAATTGAATATATTAGACTCAAAGTCTAAGTGATGATACTCAAAATTGAATATTTGAGTTAATGGGTATTTCCACTCAAGGTACTATTATTTTATGATTAAGTACCAATTATAGGGTTTGAGCCCCCAAATCAAGTGCATAAATTTAAGGTATAAAACTCAAAACTTGAGATTTGAATGGTATATATGTACTCATAATGAGTATCCATTTGTGATACAATGATATAAAAAATGTCATGAAGCTTGAAGTTATCTATGATTGTTCAAGAAGACACTATGACATTTGAATTATTGAAATTGAGATCCATTACATGTCTTGAAGACATAAAATATTTTATCTGGTTAATATGTGTCTCGAACAGGTAAACTAAATATTTCATATCGAAACGATGTCTAAAAGACACGAGCAAAGTATCTTTGTATCTTAAAGATACAAGTAAAAGAATTGGTGGATATATCTTAAACACACAAGTAAAAGTGACATATGATATAGACTTCTGAATATATGTAAGAGGAAATATTCTCTAATTTATGGATCTATATTATGATCATGAAGTGGCAACACAAAAACTCAAGTTGCACTCATAATCGCAAAATAAATCATTTTAATAGCATATCATATACTGTAATACGAGTTGTGAGCTAATACAAAACTCATTCAATTATTGTTACTCTTTGAAAGTGAAAACAACAATATTAATTAACCTCAAGCGATTAACCTCCCACGAATAAACCAGTCGTCGTCGATCATTTTAGAGGGAGATATAGTATTCAGGTTATCCAAGCTCTTCGCGAGAGAAGCCCATCTGTTACATCTTTCGGTGCCTCTATTGATGAATGCTTTGCTATTTTTTTAAATTTTCAGTTGTGCTCTTTCGAATTTATTAAAAGACAGGGCAGTGGTTCTTGCCCATGCTTTGGCTAAGCTTTTTATCCTTGAAGCTGTAGATGGAGTTCATTTCCCTTCAAATGTGGCTGTTAATGACTGATAATATTCGGTTATTTCTCAGAAAAGAAAAAAAAACAACAATATTAAAAAATTCGAAGAGGTATATTGGTATGAATAACTACCGTGGTGCTCAAGCTTATTTACTATAAATGTTATCTCATCATAGGGAAAGAGAGATGAGAAATACGGAAAATGATTGGTCATGTATCCATTTTACGATAAATCATGTTGATAAGCTTTTATCAAGCACCAATAGAAAAGTAAAAGAAATTGCGTTAATTTTGGAATCACGATATTGACCAATTCAATTAAAGATTTTGAATACGAAAGTTTTGTGATGCAAATTTCATTCCAAATCCATATACATGGAGGTATGTATATGATTTTTTTTTAATTTTTTTTTTAATTGGTCTACATGAGATGAAATTTCAAACCAAACAAAAAAAATGAAATATGAGTTTCTTGTTAAAATTCCAAACCCTTTGCATATTCTGATTTTTTCAAAATTTACAGTTTACTCCTTCATAATTTTCAAAAATTTTGTTTTTGTCCCTTAAATTTGAAAATTTTATGATTCAGTCCAAATATTTTTCAAAATATGCAGCTTGTTCCTTTCATCATATGCAATTATGAATCTATTTCAGCATTCTCAGTTTTCAATCGTCCCTTAAGTTTTCAAAATATTTCAGCATTGGTTTTATGGGAAATATTTCTTATTTGACAAACATATCTTTTTTTAACTTTTCACTTTATCTTTATGTCTTCATTAATATTAGGATAGAGTTCGAAAATATGGTAAATCACGAGAGATTTATTGGGATAAGGCATAATTAATTAATTATCAAATTGCCCCATGTTTGGATAAGTAGAGCCGGTCCTGAGGGGAAGCCAGAGATGCCATCGCTTAGGGCCCCATTTTAATCTGGACCCGCAAAATTAAATAAAAGAAAGCCTAATATATATATATATATATATATTGATACGCGTAAAACCTACGTATGAAAAATCGCAAGTGTACAGTATCGCGTTTTGTAGAATAGTGAATTCCAGATATCGATCCACAGGGAATTAAGTTCCTAAATCTACCAAGTACCGTAATTATACTATCCTAAACTTTATCTAGACGGGAGAAAAAGATGGGAGATGACATGAAGCCAAAAGGAAACAAAAATAATAAAAACAACGGTCCGCCAGTATACGCGAGGAATTCCGACGTGTGATG